GTCCTTCCTTCTCACAACTCCCTTCATAATAAGTCATAATAATTACTAAACACACCCTGACTTCTAAAAATCTTTACGAGATAAATCCTAAATTTACACTTCGACCCTCGAAGGTCCAAATTATATTATTCGACTCCCCGAGACCAACACCCCGCTAAATATTATTGATTTTAGGCCACTGTTCATATTAACCCTTATCCATTTATTTATTTAATATACGGGATGTTACAGTGATCATGATGGTTTATTTCCTCTTCTTGTAGTGCTTCCAGTGTGGACACGTTTTCGGGCGAGTCGTAAATATGTTGGCTGGATAAGAGAAGCAGTAAGGATTGAGAGAAGTATCAGTCAGGTATCAGAAAGTATCGGCAGGTGGTATGCAATATAATTCCACTTGTTCACAAGCTGTTGTTAGATTTGTGATTCTCAAGTTGGAAATTTCTTATTCATTCGTAAGTCATTGAGTTCTTGGTAATTGTATCGAGTGGATGCCCAGGTGGGGTGTATCGTAGAAGTTCATGGTTTGGTTTTGGGTTAAGTTCGCGGTCGGTGTGTGTTGAGAGTCATTCTTCATGGTTCTGGTAGTGCCCAGTTGGGGACTGGGGGCAGAAACAAATGGATATTCATCAGCTTTAGGGAAGGTTCAGCAAGAAGAATTTGAGCTGCCATTTTCGAAAGGGGGCCTCTGGTGGAAACTCGCGTTGGGAATCGCGAGTGTATCCGTGCAAGGTCTGTACTCTGGGAGACTGTGACGTAAGTGGAGGCTCTCTTGGTTTGTGGTGCGAGACGCGAGTTCCAGGCGGAAGGTGTAATGTCATCATGATGGTGTAATCGAAGGGTTGTTTGGGTTAAAATGTCCTTGTCTTCCAGGTTCTGGAAACCTGGTGGCTGGACCAAGTGTGAGACTGGTAGTCTCAACGGTGGTTGAGAAAATCTTTGTATCCAGGTTTAATGAGCGGTTGCGATGAATCAGAAGATTTTGGGTAAAATGCAAGGGTAGGTCCGTGGATCTCGGGTTATGAGTTTAGACCCGAGTTATGCATATAATGGTATTCCAATCTAGGGTATTCCATCCCGAGGATGACCGGATCCTATGATCGATTGGACCTGGCATATTTGGTATTCCAACCCGAGGGTTGATTGGGCCAAACTTGTGCATGATACGAGGGTATTCCATCCTGAGGATGGTTGGGCCCGTCGTAGGCATGTCTGGTATTCCAGCCCGAGGCTGATTGGGCCAGGTATGAGTGTTCGTGCTTGTGAGTTTGTTTTTATATGTATATTGGTTCGGGTGTTAAAGGAAGCATTGTCGGCAGCAATGTATGATCGGTGACTTTGTTATCTGCTCAGGTTTTCAGGGTGGAGTAGTCAGTTTAGGGGATAAGGGGAATAGAATTAGTGATGGTTAGTATGGGCGGTCTGTCGGGAAGTCAGGCCAAGTTCGACATTCCTGATTTCAGATTTTCAGGTGAAGTAGGGATGATCTGTTGCGTAGGATTATGGAATTGTTTTCTTAGGGTTGGAAATTTCTCTGCTGAGTTTGGTCGCCCTGGGAAGGTCATGGTATGTTCAAGTTTGTGGGTGTGTCCCTTAGGATTTCGGGCATGCTGGGGATGGTAAGGGATGATTCGAGAACAAAATCGAATTTAAGTGGCGAAGAGTTGTAACATCTCAATCTTCTGGTATGAAATTTCAAGCTTTATATATGTTTTCCTAAAGGAAACTCAACGAGTTGGGAGGCCCCAACTCATCGTGTCGAAACCAAGAAGGGGCGTGTGTTTTTGAAGACCAACTCGACGAGTTGGACGTGGTTTGGGAAACCCCAATTTCAGGGTTTTACACCCTATATAACCTCCTTAAGTCTTTGAGGCTATCTTTTATCAGCTTCCAAACCCTAATATCGACCTTGTGAACCCTACTCACCCCTCTCCTCTCATATTGTGAGTTAGTGTGGCATTTGGAGCAAAAAAATGAGAAGATTATGAGGAGGAGGCAAGGATCTAGCAAGCAAAGCCTTTAACCTTCAGCTTGGTACTATTGTGGACTGTTGTAAGTATTCAAGATCCGATTTTTATCTATATATGTAGCTAGATCTTGAGTTTTTCCCCTTTTCCCTCCTTATTCTTGGTTGTTGCATGCATGGACTTCATAAAGTTTGCAATTTTATGAATCTCCAGGGCAAGATGGCCTCATAGTGGGTTAGATCTAGCTTTTTGTCAAGCTTTGATGCCATGCATGGATTTTAGGGCATATTTCTCCTTTTGGCCCATTTTGGCTCCAAGACATGCATTGTACATGTATGTCTATAAAGCAACAACCTTTGGGACGTTTTTGAGGTTAGATCCTCTTCTAGAAAGGATGAGTTCCAGATCTCTAGGGTTTTGGGCTTAGTGGTTAAGCCTTTGAGTTTACAAGCCTTGAATAAGAGCTTTTGAGCAATTGGATTGGTTCCAAAGGATAAAGTTGGAAACTTTATCCTTTTAGACACATTTGGAGTTCAGATCTGAGCCTTAGAGTCCCTAGAATCAAAGAATCATCTGAATGTGTTAAGCAGGGGGAAAACTTGATGAGTTGTCCAGCCAACTCGGCGAGTTAGCTAGGGTTTTCCCCGATTGTCTGAATACAGAAGGAACTCGACGAGTTGCTAGGTGAACTCGATGAGTTGGGTCAACATGGATTGTTGACTTTGGCCGTTGACTTTGACTTTGACCATGGTTGACCAAGTTTGACTTTTAAGGGTATTTTGGGTATTTTGGCATTTTGGGATTTTGATGGTTAGTGGTCACTTAGATGGATAGGTATTGGTTGGGGCTGAGATTTGGAGTCGGGACCTCATCAGGTATGGATCAGACTGAGAGGTGAGTTTTCCTCACTGTACCCAAGGATCGAAGGTACCAAGGCCGACCCTTTGGATTGTTATCCTAATTATCGTATGATTATATGTATAGTGATCTGTTAGATCGGTATCTTGGTAGATGGGATGATGCTATGCTGTTATGATCTGCTGGATCAATACCCTGGTAGATAGGATAAGGTTATGCTTAGTGATCGGTAAGATCTGTTTAACTGGTTGTAGACTGTTATATGATTATTTGTTATATGTGCACATGTTTGATTGGTGGCTGAGGCTTTTCTGCTTTGTACGTAAGCCAACATGTCTGGGGTATTCCAACTCGATGGTTGAGGACCCATAGTAAGTTGGCATTCCAACCCGATGGTTGAGGGCCTGGGGTATTCCAACCCTATGGTTGAGGACCCATAGTATGTTGGCATTCCAACCCGATGGTTGAGGGCATGGGGTATTCTAACCCGATGGTTGAGGACCCATAGTATGTTGGCATTCCAACCTGATGGTTGAGGGCTTGGGGTATTCCAACCCGATGGTTGAGGACCCATAGTATGTTGTTTTGTACATGTGCTATTTTTTGCGTGTTGGTACTTTGGGGGAACTCACTAAGCTTCGTGCTTACAGTTTTGGTTTATGGTTTCAGGTACTTCAGTAGATTGTGGCAAGGTGAAGGCGTGATCGTACACATCCTCGTGTTTTGGGGACTTATGATTTCTGGGAAACTTTATCGTAAATGACTCTTATTTTAAATAATGTTTTGGACACAATGGTTTTGTAAAGACTTTTAGAGAAAGGGTTGTTTTGAAAAAGTTTAAATTGTATTGAAATTTTATGAATGTTACATTTCATGGTCTTATGGGCCAATGGTTTGGCCCATTAGGGTTTTAGGTATGATCTCTCAAGTATAAATATGTATGAATGTTACGTCATTTTGTGTCTTTTATATCTTTAGTGAGTAGGACAAATCTCTGGTGAATTGTACATGTAATATATATATATATATATGGTATCGAATTTCGTTGTCTAGGACCCCCATAGCTTACAACATTCTTTTTTATCCTCTTCACGTATCCGTCTTGGGGAGGGGGCACTCATGTATCTTATATATCTCTATATATGTTGGAGTCTTTTGTCTCTCCATAAGGGCTCTTTAGATTAAGCCACAAACTCCACATATATCTTACACATGCCACACGTCGTTACAATACACCACTTTCTTAATTTCGTAATACCCATGATGATTATCTTATAAGAGTTATCGGAAAGTTGCCCTAAACCAAATATTGAGCGTTCACGTCCAGTTTGGGACGAAAAATGTGGATTTGGAAATAGAGTGAGTAACTTGTGTAAGTTGGTCATTCATGCCCAACCTACTAGGGGGTGGGGGGAAGCTAGGCAACACCTCCCGGGCCCAGGTCGGTTTGGGCCCCCAAACGGAGTTATGCTTAATATGTTTTATATAATACATGTATTACAAAAATGTTGAATGTAGATGTAGATTTGGCTTCGACAAATTTCTTTTACTAGATGTGGCCGTGTTCGATTCCTACTATGCATATTTCTTTTTAATTATAACCCCAAAAGATAATAATATACGGAACCTTTCAAAAGGTTTCGGTAATATAATATAAAATTGCTATATTACATTGGTCGGCGATGGTGACAGGATCAAGATATCAATTTGTTCTTTATCAATCTATAAAAAAGAATATAATACCGGCGCCCAAAAAATTTAGTTGAATTTCATATTTTTAAAGTTTACCTAAGGAATACTATTTATTATTTTAACTTTTAATATATTTAATCAATTATAGTTATACATTAAAGGACGTATTTTTCGGTTCAGTTCTTTTTTTCGGTTTTTTATAAAGAAAGCCAAAACTGATCGAACCTGAAATTCGGTCTTTTTAATATCCCAAAACAGAATTGTAGGTTTTTCAAAATAGTTCGGTTGTTCGGTGACTTTGGTTTTGGTTCGGTATTAGTTTTCTTTGTACCCCCCAGGAGTTGCATTGGTTGTAGCATTAAACAAAGTCCATTTTTTATATTTATAATTGCATAATATAGGGGGCCCAGTTTCGGGATCTTAAGTGTATTATAATAGCACTGGTGTAAATCAAGCCCATGTAGTTGGTGATTGGCACAATACCGGCAAAAATATTTGTAAGTTTAAATACACGTTATATATTATTACAATACCAAGTGTTATAAATAGAATTTATACATACAAATGAACATGTTTGCTATAGTAGTTTAAAAAAGCTCAAATTCTTTACCTTTTATAAAGTCGGAAATGGGTTAGGCTGTTGAAGCAGCATACTTGATCAAGAACTTCAGTCTTCATGTATTATATATTCGGATGTCTCAAATACAGGCAACTTGAACATATCAGCCTTAGTTTAACCAATCTACAACAGAGAGGATACATAGTTAAACAAAGAATGTTGCAACCATTTCAGAGGTTTTAGTTGATAAAGTTTCAAAAAGAACAAAGCAAAATCATCAAGAGGCGGAAGAAAGAATTACCAAGTGGAGGTTGGACAAGGAGGAGAAGCAATTTTCGTGATCCCTTCTAACATCAGCAACACAGACTTCATAGAGGGACGAAGAGCAGGTTCATCATGAATGCACCAAAGTCCGACTTTAACCAGCCTCTCCAATGCCGCCATATCCACTTGTTCATCACCAACAAGCAGATCCAGTTGCCCTCTTTCAAAGCACTTGTAAACCCAAGTAGAAAGAACTATCTCTTCCGTATTCGATACATGTACTTCCAGGTTCCTTCTGCAACAAATGGTTTCCAGCAACACGATCCCATAGCTGAAGATATCGACCTTCACTGAGATTGGGATGTTTTTCTGCCACTCGGGTGCCAAGTACCTGTAAGACAAAAACACATGGTGTGTCGATTTGAAGAAAACAGTTGAATGAGTTTAGTGTTAGAGATCAGTAGTATTAATTGTTATCATACCCTCTAGTTCCTCGAACGATGGTGAAGGTCTTTGTTTGATCTGGCATTAGTAATTTGGCCAATCCAAAGTCGGAGATTTTAGCAGTCCAGAAATCATCCATCAGAATGTTTTGGGGCTTTATGTCACAGTGAATGATGGGTGTTTCACATTCTTCATGAAGGTAGAGGATACCTTTTGCCACATCAAGAGCGATTTGCAGTCTTTCAGACCAGTCTGGAAGCCTGTCCGACCTAAATAGGCGGTCGGCTAGTGTTCCATTGCTCATGTATTCATAAACAAGAAGCCTCTCTTTACCTTCTGCACAATAACCGAAGAGACGGACTAGATTCTTGTGATGTGTTTTGCCAATCACTTGCATTTCTGCTCGGAATTCTCTCTCACCTTCATCCACCACCTTCTCAAGTCTCTTCACTGCTATCACTTTGTTCCCTTTGTAGAAACTCCCTTTATAGACTCTTCCAAACGACCCTCTTCCTAGCTCATGCTTGAACCCATCGGTTGCCTTTTTAAGCTCCTTGTAAGTATATGATTGCAGGATGAGGTCCTCCGCTAATCCCAAACTTCTAGTTTCCAGCAATCTTTTGTACTTTAGAAGACGGAATTTGAATACGAAATATCCCGTCAAACTTAGCGAAATGCATGAATATATGGAAAAACCAACGCTCATAAAAAGAATTATAAGCCATGTCTTCTTGCCTGTGGTCAGCACTTTCTCCATCCTCTGTGTGGGCTCCAAAGAAGTAGCATTAATGGATGCATTGGCTTGGACATTATAAAGGCTTACATTGGGCGTCTTGAAGAACATCATAGGCGTGGTGGAATCATCGTAAACTCTTTTCACGTACCTAAGTGGGAACTTGTGTTTCTCACAGTTACTATTACTGAAAAAAGCTGCATCACAATTGCAATCCTCCAAACAGGAGTCGCTGCAGCCCTCCTTGTTGTCGGGACTGAATACAACGTAAGGACGATCATCACACACTAATCGCTCTTTGGGAACCATGTTGTAATATGTAATGTTTTCTTTCCCGCTTTTGCACATTGCTTTTGTGAAATTCCTTTCACAGCCCCTAGACTTCAAATCGGGGTATACAAAATCATAACCCGGCAGGCAAACACAATAGGGCTGTTCATCATTCATAGTGCAATAGCTGTTGAAGCCGCAGAAGTTCTTCACATTACAAGGAGGATCTGGCACTTTCCATACTATGGGAGGGGGGAAGTTATTATGCTTGTAAAGATACAGCCGTAAGATTCCATCATCACCGATTGTGACACGATATGTGATATGATAATTCGGTTCAGCATAAAGATGCTTGATGATGTCTGAATCCCTTCCATTGATAATCAGTAAGCCTGTATCATTCAGGTGCAGATAGTTGCTCGAAATCCTATCATACTGAACGGTATCAGAAGCCCAGTATGAATTTTCTGGGCCATCCCCCGTGTTCATTGGATACATAACAAGATTACCGTCCATCTGCATCTTAATATGAAAGCGTCCACTAGAGTAATTGGTTTTAGACACACTCGAAACCAATTCATTCCCACCAAAAAGACTCTGGCCTTGTAACAAAGTATCGGTAGGATGGTTGAAACTCTGCCATATTACACCCATTTTATCATCGTAGAGTACAAAATTTCCAGTGTTGTTCATCACTGCAGATGAAACGTTGGCTGCAATAGTCTTTTTAACCCCACCATGCTCACAGCTTAAAACCAATTCTCCTTCACGAGTAAGTGTTAGTATGGCATTTGGTGAAACGGGTGGATCATCTCGATAAGCAGTCCACACAACCGTATTTTCTCCGGAGCTCTCTAACCAGATTGCGACCACATAGCCAGTGCCTTGTTGATAAAACCCAAATGCAAACATTTTAGACTGGGAGTACCATGCATTCGTAGATTGTGTACCAGCGACAAGTGAGGATCCCAAGTCAATGGATCCTCCATCAACCTTTGTCTCCAGGAATTGAAAGATGAACAGAAAAACAAGCATTAATAATGAGGCCATGATCACAAGCTATACGGATAAGGTACTTACCTGTGAAGACGAGAGACGAGAGCACTGGCAGGTTTGGAGCATTTCCTTTCAATTATTTGAAAGAAATCATACCAACAGACACCACTAATTCTCTCTCTTCCTATTTTCCATTCAAATTAAATGACCAGCGAGTTTTCTCGTAATAAGTCTTCGTACAAGTCTTCGCCTTATAATTTTCTTTTCCTTATCAGAAAAACACCAGCTAAGACCAAAGAAGCTAGGAAAACGTAAACATTACATCCACATATCCCATTTTAAGTTCCCAACTTTTTAGTTCTAAAACTACACCGCAAAAACGAGACATATATATAACACATCTGAAGCTAGATGAGGGATACTTTTACAAGTCCTGTAAGACCATCAACGGAAAAGGTCTTATGACAACTTCAAATTTACGAATTTGAAACACCGACCAATTAATTGTTGCTTTTTTATACAATATATAAATAATTATAGATTTATAATTAATGGTCAATAATTAAATAATGAATAATGAAAAAGTCTTTTAGTAACTAATCTATTAATTAAAATATAAAATATTAATTTATAGATATAAACTATAAAAATATATCAAACCGTCGGTTGTTTCGATTTTTTATCCTACCCCTAGTGACAGCTACTCATGTTTGGTTTTTATGTAAAGAAGCCCCGTTGTTATCACATATCCATTTCGTGAGTTCCTTTTCCATGCTGATGTGAGTGTTGTCTACTTTTCATCGCGAATATTGGTTGTGGACCATGAATCGTCACATTTTTTTCCACACGCTTTCTGGATTAGAATAGACATGACTGAATTCTTGTACATTGGTAGTAAATATATTTAGGTCTCAAGATAAAAATATCGATCTATCATTTTTGCTGATTTGGTGCTCTTGTAGCATCTCACTAGATCTCACCTCTCTAAATAATATGGCCTTCATGTTACTTATCTTCCTAAGACTATTCTTTATTTTAGTAATTACCCAAGGATCTGACTTCACCTCCTCTAATAGTATTACCTTAGGTTCCTCATTGATCCCAGACACAAACCCTTCATGGCTCTCTCCTTCTGGCCATTTTGCATTTGGTTTCTTCCAGCAAGATGACGGTTATGCGGTTGGGATATGGCTTGCAGGCAAGCCAGAAAACATAGTTGTTTGGACTGCAAATCGTGATGACCCGCCCGTCTCTTCAAACAGTAGTATCTTCACGACGAGTGTGAAGCTCGTATAATACACTGCAATATAAAGCCTCATAATATTCTCTTTGATGAGGCTTGGACTGCTAAGATCTCTGATTTTGGGTTATCAAAGCTATTGAGGTCAAATCAGAGCGGAACCCTCTTGAGTGTCAGTGGTGATCGTGATAGGGGAACAAGAGGATACCTGGCACCTGAGTGGCACAAGAACACGTTAATCTCCACCAAGGTGGATATCTACAGCTTCGGGGTTGTACTTCTGGAGATTTTGTGTTGCAGAAATAGTATGGAGATAGATGTTCTTTCTACTTGGGTTTACAATTGTTTTATAGACAAAGACTGGAGTAGGCTCACGGGAGATGAAGAAGTAGATGTCAACATGTTGGAGAAGATGGTGAAAGTCGGACTGCTGTGCATTCAAGATGATCCAGATGCAAGGCCTTCTATCAAGAATGTTATCCTGATGTTAGAAGGAACTGCTGATATTCCAATCCCTCCATCACCAACTTCTCCTCATTTGATCTTAGTTTGATTGTTATCTTTTGCCTTTTGGGTTTTATTTGAAATATTGCTTGTTGTCATTCATCCAGAGACAAAGCCATATCCTTTCCATTTACCAATGTAATAATTATTAAACGGAAGCGATACTTACCTAGCTACAAATGAAAGAAATCCTCCTTCATGAAAGAAATCCTTGAATGACAGCTTTTTACTCTTTGCCTCTTTGGCAATCGAAAACTTTGACTTTTGAGTCAAATTGGGTGGAGATCGTGCTAAAATAATAACGAGGAATAATGATATGGGCTTTTGACTTATTCGTGATTAAGTACACCCTGGGCCGATCTTGGTTTTTGGAAGGTCTACGTATAATAAAAACTATCTACTAACTTCACCATTCACCAATACCAAAGTCCATTTCCCAAATTATTATTTATAGTTCACTTTCATTTTTAAAGTTTTTATTTTTTAATATTAATTTTTAATATTTTTATTTGTGTTATATATTTTTTGGTGAAACTTAAAACAACGAAAAGAAAATTTAAAAAATTCATTCAATGCATTTTACAACAAGTATTATATATATATATATATATATATATATATATATATATATATATATATATATATATATATATATATATATATATAGTCAAAGTTAAATAAAAAACACTTCAAATAAAAAATGGACAATAAATATAAAACAGATATAGTATTAAAAATATTAATATAAAAAAACTCTAACCTAAATCTCCCGCTTTGTAATACCCTAATTATTCTACAATCACTTTGTTTTCCGAAATTATTTTACCATTACGAAATAATTCCTTAATTGTCGGCTTGTTGCACCAACTTAATTACTTAATCATGCTAACTTAAGTTCTCGAATGACAATCTCCATTACTCGGCCTTTGCAATTTTATGAGTTGGCCCTAACTTTTGGTCCATTAAGATGGTCTTAATGAGTATACTTTTAAAACAAAGAGAAAAATATTATATTATCTGTGGGAGCAAACATGAATCTCATTAAAAACTGGAAACCGATCATTGACAAATTTCAAGCTAAATTGTCCTCTTGGAAATCCAAAACATTATCTTTTGGCGGTCTTTTAACTCTAATCACATCCGTACTAGGAAACTTACCAACCTATTACTTTTCCTTATTCATGGCACCTGTGGCGGTTACGGAGACATTGGAAAAAATCCGTAGGAAGTTCTTGTGGGGGGGAGACAATGACACAAAGAAAATTCACTAGGTTTCGTGGGATAAAGTCATCTCTCCAAAATCTAATGGGGGACTTGGCGTGGGGTCCATACAGACCCTAAACATTGGTCTAATGGTCAAATGTTGGTGGAGATTGAAAAAGGAAGGAGACTCTCTGTGGAATCGCACCATTAGAAGTATTCATAATCTTAATAATAAACCTCACAACTACTTGGCTAACAGGAAAATTAGTGGGGTTTGGAAAAACATCGTGGCTATAAAGGACCTGCAGAAACACAATCTGGAACCTGACGATATATTCCAATTGGTGCCAACACCCATTTCTGGTCAGAAAAGTGGATTGGGTTGACTGATTTAAAAACCAAACATCCCTCCCTATATGCTCTAGAAACAAGGAAAAAATGCAATATCAACGATAGATTCTACAATGGGAACTTTGAAGGTCAGTGGAGATCTTGCCCTCACGAGTCAGGACTCACTATCAATCTCACAGAGACATATCATCGATTTGACTGGTCAGTGGCGAAGATACTTGGGTATCCTCATTAGCCTCTGATGGGGTGTTCAAAGCAGGTGATGTAAGGCGGAAAATTGATTGTGGCTTAGTCACGTCTCATAATTTTCCAGTAATTAGTTGGAGCAAAGATGTACCAACCAAAGTCAATTGCTTTATGTGGAGGGCTATTCAAAAAAAGATAGCTTCGTTGGTGGGACTACGCAATCGGGGTATTGATATTCAAACTACTACATGTGGTGCTTGTATCAATCGAGAAGAAGATACAGATCATATCTTGGCAAGGTGCCCATTCGCTAAAGCTGTAGTGGAGAGAATTCTCAAATGGTGCGGTGTACACAACTACTCGTTCAATAGCCTGGAAGAACTTACTGGATTGGTTGCAACCTGTGGTAGTGGTCCCAAAATGAAAGATCACTTTCTTACTATCTGTTATAGTCTTGTCTGGAACCTATGGAAATTTCGAAATGACCGAGTATTCAGGTGTTCATCAACCTTCTTTCCAGTGCTGAGCAGGTCAAATCTGTGACATACTTTTGGATTAAATGTAGAAGTAAAAGTGGTATTTGCTCATGGGACGAGTGGCTTTCCTCTCCCTTTTGTTTCTGAAAATACTTTGTACTCTCTTGCTTATTGCTCCCGTGCTAGTTACTTGCTAGTCAGGGGAGTCAGTTTTATCTAATATATTATTCGTCGTTTTAAAAAATAAATAAATAAATAAATAAAATATAAGGATAAAAAGATCCATATGATTATTTTATGTATGTCTAAACGCATACTTTTAGACATTATGTACGTGTATTCACTTTTTATCTTTGAAGACGTTGGAAAGTAAGCCATTGAGTTGAAATATTTACTTTCCATCAATTAATATAGATTTATTAATAAAGTAATAACGTACAACCACTTGGTGTATAGCATTTTATATTGAAAATGTTTCAATGCATATGGTATTGGTTTTATCTTTTGCTCATGTTGTTTTGAAGTGATTTAGAAAAATAAAAACATCATCAAAAAAAAAGTGTTGCTCAGTCTTCATATATGAAAATGCTTTAGATCGTATCATGTTATTTCCCTAATATTTGTATTCATTGTTGTGAAACACATTAACGAGTCAAATTCAGATGGTATCATGTTATTTCAATATATTTGTTGTTTTGGTTTGATGGTACAGTTAATTAAAATCTCTTTAGGTTGTGTTTGGCGTAACAACTGGCTGATAAGCTAGCTTGTTTTTCGAGTTTTTTTTTTTTAAGTTGACATGTGTGTTAAGCTAAAAAATAGCTTATAAGATAGTTTTTTCTAAAGTTACTTAAACTAGTTTTTCATGAGTTTTTTTTTTAAATTTCAAATATACTTATAATTAGTTATAAATAACATATTCTTATAAATGTCTTTTTAGTTTTTATGTTATTTTATATCTTTCAGCTATTTTTTATCAAACGTCATGTTTTATCAACTACGTTATAATGTAGTAGCTACTTTTCAGCTAACAATTAGTTTTTTTCATTTATCAATTAGTTTTTCAACTAGCAGTTATCTTTTCAGCTAATTGTCAAGCATAATTTTAATGTCTATTTAATCTTAGAAGCGATCTTAGTAGTTTGCATTTATTAACAACATAGTTCAAAAACTCTAGCCTAAAATGTAAACATTTGAAATATTGTTAATAATACTTAAAGCTCGAATAAAATGGAACAATAAAGATGTAGAAAATTAAACAATAAAGATGTAGAAAAATGGCACAAAGTAGTGAACTAATATACATAATAACTAGATACAAAAGGGAATTCAGATACTAACATTGTACATGCATACATACACAAGAGTAATTATATAATATACTTTTACTTTCTATACAAAATTTTCTATACAAATTATATATATATATATATATATATATATATATATATATATATATATATCTTAATAAGCATTTAGCCTCAAATGCTGAATTTTAAGAGGTACAAGATTAAAAGCAAGTTGTACAATGAATTTATGCATTGAATCTTATTAATCAAACGTTTATTACATAGTCTCACTTTTATCCCTTAAAAATATGCACCTAACTAATGTGAATCAATTTTAATCGGTCAAAATGAAGACTTATTCCCAATCTGTTACTTTAAGAGGGTGTTTGGGATTACTTTTGAGCATCAAAAATCCTTGTAGAAGGACTTTTTGGAAAATGACTTTTTGCAAAAGAAGTTCTTTAAAATGTGTTTGGATTGACAAAATGACTTTTGATTTAACTTTTATAGGTAAAACAACAAAAAGTCATGATTTTGTGACTTTTAGAAGCTCCTCATTTTTTTCTTGCCAAAAGTCATTTCCAAAAGATCTTTTGAGCTATCCAAACACCTTTTGGCTTTTTTTTAACTTTTTGGAAAAGTTAAAAGCCAAAAGTTATTTTTAAAGGAACCCCAAACACCCTATAAATATGGGATTTGAGTCTCTTTTCTCTTGTTTCTCTTCTGTTATAAGGAAACGTTGCCAACATCACCAGAAACAATTCCAACAAATAGAGAATCGTTGTTGCATACACGATGTTAGTATGTTTTAGATGTGCCATGGATGGTTCTCTCTCTATCTCTCTCCCTCTGTTTCTCTTCTCAAAATCATTATCGCCATCTTCTCTTCCCTACCAATATGAACGAGAAGTCGCCAATAAAGGAGATAGTTTATAGGGATCTGGCGGGGGGTTTGATCAAGCATATCAGATTGTGTTATTTCACTGCCATTAGTAACCCCCACCAGAGCACCATCACAGTTTACCCTTTCCATTGTCGGTATCTCTATCATTCTCTAAAAATCCCTAATTGCCACCACGAAGACCAACTACAGGTGGTTCTTGAGATGGTTCTACTTGCAACATATATAGATATATTCAATAGTTTGAAAATTTTGGTGCTTATAATGGTAAGATTTCACATCTATCGTCTATTATTTTGACGAATTCCTACCCGTTTCTCGGCATTTCTCCATATCTTCACGTTCTTTGTTCACAAATCCTGGATATAGCACCCATTTTCCTTCGTCGTCATCAAGAACAATTCCAGTCTACTGGGGTTCAATCCACCCTTTCAATCTCTATTCTCTATCCCTTTCTCTATTCTCTATCTCTTTCACTCACAAACCTTAATATCTATCAATCTAACATGCCTTCCCTTATACATGTCGTCAATACCACAAACCATTCATCCCCAACACGAACCTGCTCCACCATTCTCCTCCCCTCTCCTTTGTACTTTGTCTCTCACGAAGAACTGGGTTGTCGCACACCCTTCAATCGACGACTCTATGTTGCTTATGATAATTCTTTATTGTGTTTGTTGCAGGTTAGCAGACAAAAGTGGAGTGTTTGTTTCACCGTATCGAAAAATCTTTTCTTGTGCCCTAAACATCAGGTTATCATAAGCATATACTCATTGTTTCTTTTTTGTGGTTATTAATATTCTATTATTTTATGATACCTTTGGCACTTTTGTTTCACAGATGCGAG